TTGCACATAATGTATCTTTTGCTGGTTTCGTTGTTTTCCATTCTGGTTTTAGTAAAAAATCTTAGAACAGTGATTCTCTACCTGTGGGTCCCAATCCCTTAGGGGAAGTGTCAGATTACCCTTTCACAGGGGTCATTATCCCATACCCTGCATATCAGATATTTACATTATGACTCATAACAGTAGCAGAGTTACAGTTACGAAGGAGCAATGAAAATAATTTTATTCTTGTGGGTTACCACACTTTGAACTGTATTAAAGGGTCACAGCATTAGGAAGGTTGAGAGCCACTGCCTTAGAGCTTTAGATTTGACCCATTTAGCTGATGGACAGGGGCCTTCCTGTGACCTCATTGGCATAATCAGCCCTCATTATGAAATCAGTCAGCCAAATCAACTTGGCTTTCTGTCAAATGAAATCTGGTTTCGTTTTTCATTAAAAAAAAAAAAAACAGGTTTCTCTCTGACAGTACATGTTCTGAATATTATGCAAAGATGAACATAATGCAGTGATGAGTAGTGGGTAGTTAAGTAGGTAGAAAAGCCTTTGATTGAGATGGGCATTGTCAGCATGGTCACGGGCACTCCTTTCAGTTTTGTTATGAGTCTTCCACAGCCCTCTGCGGTTGTCCTGTGTGCTGTGAGGCATTCGACCCTGGGTAATTCCCCCGGTGATTTGAAATGAGCCGTTTGACTGCTTACCACAAGATCCATTCCCTGGAATCTTTTCCTAAGACAGACTTTCATCCATTCAGTCTGTTTTCTAGGTTCTTGAAGTGTGGGTTACTCTTGCAAATGATCACCATCATCTTACTAAGCTGCTGACATGTACAGGCTGCAGGTGTAGGGAGCTGCCTGTGCTGGCCCTGCTTTGGAGTTGGGTGGGTCTCAAACCCAGGAAGCCGAGTGAAGTAAATTGGAGTTATGGTAATTGACAGGTAATCCAAAGAAACCAGTGATCTCCTCAGTGCTCTGATGTAGATGCCTGGTCATAAGAAATGGACTGTATTAACCACTGGGAAAGGACTAGATAGGCAACAAAGATGGAAGTGTCTTAACAATGTATTGGGGAAGCTAACAGTAAACCATCGCTGGTCCTGGCCTGTGCAGGAGAAGAGAAAGTGTGTGATAAAATACCCTTCAGCTTTAATCTCTGTGTGGTTATTTAAAACAGATTGAGCATTGGAGGGCTTGCTTTGATAGGTGCCTTCTAATGGCTATGCCCATGTTGGAAGCTAAACCCTCTTGAGTGTTCTTCCTTAAACCTGAATTGTGAAGCTTTCACTCTGGCTGGTAGATCAGGAATCATTTCTGTGAACCTAATGGTGTGTGTTGTGACTCCCAGGGGACCCTCTCTAGCTCTGCAGCTGTCTCCTCTTTGGTACCCTGCCCCTGAAAACTCAGACTTCTCTGGTAGTGGCCTCATCCCTTTAATGCTGGGAGATTGCCCAGCTCCATTCAAGCAAGCTCTTCCTCTGCATGAGAGCCTGGAAACTCCAGGCAGGAAGCTATGGTAGTACAACAATTGCCTCATCTCTACACATTTCTCAGGAAGTGTTGTCCTTTGTACCTGTTCAATGGCTTGAAAACATTGCTTTATATATATTCTTAGTTTTTTTCTTGTTATGGGCAGGAAGGTGTGAATCAGTTCCTGATACCTCTTCCTGGTTGGAAGCCCTGGTGTGTAACTCAACTCCATGATAATGGAGAAGTCCATTCAGTTAAAAGCCAATACATACTGCATAAGTGAATTTTGTAGGTGGGAACCCCAAACATCACTATCTCTTTCATTTCTTCTTCCTTTCTGTGCTTAAACAGGGTTCAAGCTTATGAAAGGATTAACTTGTTAGGCTAGGGATGTGCCTTGTTAGATAGAGCACTTGCCTTCTATGGACAAGACCCTAAATTCAATGCTCAACACCAAATATATATGATGTGTTTACTTAGGGGTCTTGGCTCTAGACTGGTTCAAGGCCTATCTGGATATATAGAATGAGTTCGAGGGCAGCCTGAACAGCTTAGAGACCCCATCTGAAAATGAAGTTTTCTTTAAAAAGCACTGCGATACAATTCATTGATAGAGCCCTTGCTAGCAGAGGCTTTAGACTCAGTAGTCCTTAGTTTGGGGTGGGTTGTATATGTGTGTGGTGGGGACAGAAGGATAAAAGAAAGAAAACTGAATCAGTAATAAAGATTATTGATGATTTTTATTTTTATTTCTATGGTATTTTTGAAACTGGGTTTCTCTGTGCATCCCTGACTGTACTGGAACTCACTCTGTAGACCAGGCTGGCCTCAAACTCAGAGATCTGCCTGCCTCTGCCTCCCAGGTGCTGGGACTAACGGTGTGTACCACCAGTGCCTGGGCACAGCTCACTCTTTTAAAGGAATGACTACCTGGTGGTGGTGGCACATGTTTTTAATCTCAGCACTCAGTAGGCAGAGGAAGGTGGATCTCTTGAGTTTGAGGCCAACCTTGTTTACAGAACTAGTTCCAGGACAGCCAGGGCTGCACAGAGAAGCCCTGTCTGGAAAAGAGAGAGTCAGCTGTTGAGCTGTCAAGTTGGCTCAGAAGCTATCAAGCCTGATGACCTGCGTTTGATTCCTCAGGATTCACAAGGTGGAAGAAGAGAACCAATTCCTGCAAGTTGTCATCTGACCTCCGTGTATATACCTTGGCACATGCCTGCCCACACATGTACATACACTTTATGCATAAAACAAAAAATGTGAAAACATTTAGCTGTGTGTGGTGGCACACGCCTTTAGTCCCAATACTCAGAAGGCAGAAGCCAGTGGATCAGTGATTTGAGGCCAGCCTGGTCTACATTAGAGAGATCTAGGCTAGCCAGATCTCAAAAAACAGAAAAGTCTGGAAAGACGGCTGAGTAGTTAAAAGCACTGGCTACTCTTGGGCCTCGATTCAGTTCCCACCACCCACATAGTGGGTCTCAATCATCTGAAACTTCTGGGGTTTTGACACCCCTTTCTGGCCTCTGTGGGCACTAGGCATGTAGGTGGTACACAGACATCATGCAGGCAAAACACCCATACACATTTTAAAAAGCTCAAGATAGCTTTTATGTCATCTTGACCATAGGCTAGAGGCATTTTGGAAGAGGGAACCTCACTTGAGGCTCAGTTGAGAAAATATCACTAAATTGGCCCATGGGCCTGTAGGACATTTTCTTGATTGATGATCAATGGGGCCTGCTCACTGTGGGCAGGGTCACTAGTGGGCTGATGGTCTTGGGTGCTATGAGAAAGCCGGCTGAGCAGACAATGGGGAGGAGCAAGCCAGTAAGTAGCACTCCATGGCCTTTGCTCCAGCTCCAGCCTCCAGGTTCCTGTCCTGACTTCCTTAGATGGATTGTAGGGGGTGGGGTAGTGGCACATGCCTCTAATCCCAGCATGTAGGAGACTGAGGCAGATGGATCTCAGAGTTCAAGGCCATCCTGGACTCTGTGGAGTGGGTTCCAGGACAGTGAGGGCTACACTGAGAAACCCTGCCTTTAAAAAAAAAAGCCTTTCACCCAGTTTGGAACACCGTCAGGCTACTCACCCTTGGTTCAAGAAGCTTATTTTTATGATGGACAGAGGTCAGCAGGGAGATTTGGACCCTCAGGGTGTTAATAAAAAGAGACTGAGTGCCCACCCCTAAGCAGGATAGCCACCAGTGTTCACGGGACATCTTAGGAGAGTAGGTAGACAGCTGGAGGATGGGGTGGAGTGCTGGGACATGGGGCTTCTACACATACCTGGCCACAAGGATCATGATCTCATAGAGCCCAGGTTACCTGCTCAAGACCAAACAAGGTATAGATAGTCTTCAGGCCCCCCACACTGAAGCTCTCCTAAGTTTCCCATGCTCTAGTTGGATGACCCCAGACCTGTGCATCAAGGCAGCACTAACTGGAGTTAGTGGATTGTTTAAAAAAAAAAAAAAAGATAGGGTGAATTGAGGGGTTCATAAGTTGGGGAAATGAGTAGATATTTCCTTGGATGCATTTATGGAATTCTCAAGGAAAATTTACGTCAGAGTTAACAATCATTTGTATATAGCAAAGGTGTGTGTGTGTGTTTGTATGTGGGCTTATGTGTGTGAGTACTTCTTACATATCCCAGGTTTGCACAGTAAGCTAAAAGTGGGACTGCAGTGCAGAGGGCAGGTGCTTTAGGAAAGCTCTTATCTGCAACTAGGTTTCTTTTCTAGGGGTTGTAGCAGTGGGAGAAGCTTAGGTTCCCCATCCTCTTAAAAGAATTTAATGAACTTTTGGGGGGGCTTGCATCTTTTAATGTGATTTTATGTCTGCATATATGTGCATGTATATATTTGTGGGCACACACGTGGAGGTCAGGACAGATTGAGGGAGTACGTCCTCGGCTCTGACTATGGATCCGAGATCAGCCGGCCTTGGCTAGTGCCTTTACCAGCTGAGCCATCTCCCCAGCCTTGGGTTTGTATCTTTAAGATAGAATGATTACGAGTCACCTTTGTGAGGGATGATAGTTGGTCACTTGTATTTGTCTGCTGTTAAGCTAAAAAACAACTAAAGATTAATCATGGTCGTTTGCCCATCGAGTGGACAGATGTTAAGTCCAGGGCCTGGTTCGAGGGACTGGGGTGGGGGTGGGGTGGATAGAAGGGTTCCAGCTCTGATGTGATCTCAGGAAACAACTACCATGTAGGGTTGCTCTCTGCTAGGCTTGATAATGGGAGGGGGAGAGTGATTCGAGGTGACTTAGGAGGTGTTGCCAAGGACCCTGGATCAAGTTGAATGTGGTGAGTGGCATTCGGGAAGCTACCCTGGGGAGAGCGGGAAGTTGTCTCCAAAGATGAGCCTGCTCAGGTTCTGTAAAATGAACCTTGTCTGTACCTCCCAGCGGACTAGCTGGGCTGCAGGCAGGAAATACTCCGCCTGTGATTGGAGGGTTGGTGGTCGGGATAAAGAACCCTGTAGTGTCGGCAGAGGTGATTGGCCAGGCCCTGCTGCAGTGAGAATGCAGACTAGATGCTCTGTCCTGGGTTGCGGAATGAGCGAGGACGGCTGAATGACTAGGAGCCCCAAGTTGTTTCTGTCTCCAAGAGAGGTCTGTCTGGATATCATTTTTTTTTTGCATTAAAAAAAAGAGCCAAGCCTCTGATCGTTCGCCACCTGACGAAGTGAGTTTTGATTGAAGTAGCCCAGCTGCTTTCCTTATTGCTGGCAGCCAGCAGCCGGGGAGGCTCCCTAAGTGAGCTACTTCTCAGGCTAGGCACGAGCGAATTTGAAAAAGCAGGAAACAGCCCCTGCGTGTAGAGCTTCAGCCTGGGAACTCCCAGGCTGTATTCCAGACAGCTGTGTAGCTAGAGACCCTTGGTATTGTGGTCACATCCCTAAGAAGTGAACAGTCATCAGTAGTGGCATTTGGAGGCAGCCGGGATGCTACAGATGCTGTGGCATTTTCTGTCTAGCTTTTTCCCTAGAGCTGGGTGTCAAGACTCCAGAGAGGGCATCGATCATGGAGTCAAAGGCACCCAGACCCCTGCTCGGGGAGACCAGATGTCCACCTTTTTGGGGAAACAAAACGGAAGGGCTGAGGCCACGGAAAAGAGACCCACCATCTTGCTGGTGGTCGGACCTGCAGAACAGTTTCCTAAGGTAACAGCACCTTCAAAAGGACCTTCTAGCTTAGGGGCTGGGCTGGGACCATTTTCCTGGAAGGGGAAGAAAGGCATGTGGGAGGGAGGACTAAAAAAAAAAAGTTTGGTATTGGAGAAATGTTGGGCGAGGAAGAAGGCCACGAGATTTGGTTCAAAATGTCTGTCACCACTGTAAACTTCTTTATCTGCTGTGACTGTCCCTGCCTGGTCATTGAAAGGTTCACTTCAGTAGATTAGCCTGCAGGTTTTTCTGTTTCACTAAACAAGCCATTTGAAAGTAAGGGTGAATTAAAGTATATTGTCTTCATTTGTCCAGAGTGTGAGAGGACAGTTGAAAGAGAAGGTTCCTTGAAAAGGGACAGTTTCCCCCCCCCCCCCCCCTTGGCTGTCCTGGTACTCACTCTGTAGACCAGGCTGGCCTCAGCTTATGGATATCTGCCTGCCCCTGCTTCCTAAATGCTGGGATTAAAGGTGTGTGCTACGCCAGGGTAAAGGGGCAGATCTTGTCAGTTGTATGAAGGTCACATTCCCCTTGCCTGACTGGTCATGATTAGTTTCCCTGAGGTCCCAGAAGTTGTTCCGGATGGGGCTGGGTCCCAGGAGAGCCTGAAGTCCTGGAGAGTAGAGGCTGGTGACTCTTGTTGACCACGGCCACCGGGGTCAGCTAAGCGTTAGGCCTTTTGTACCTGCGTCCAGTCCTCACAGGAGCCAGAGTAAGTGACAGCACTCCCCAGTTGGAGGTTGGAGAAGAAAAGTTCAGAAATCTGCCCAAATTACTTAAGGGGAAGAACTTGACCCCAATCTTTCTGGATCCTTGTTTGCTTCCCTCCAGAAAGCTGTTAATGGGACTGGCTGAGCTCTCAGAACAGACCGGGGCTGGCTGCAGCAGGTACAGCCATATTCAACCCCTGAGTTCTCATTCCTGAATTTTCTTCTCAGTCACAGGCCAAAGAGAGTCCCAGTGCTTGGTATATAATAGACATGCCCAAAATGTCCCATTGAATCTCACGAGAACTTTACTGTGACAAGTTTTGCAGTAGTTGAACATTGCCATCAGTGGGAGTCCTTAGACTGTGATGAGTTCCCCGTTGTCAGGCCTCACAGAAGCTGTGTCCTGCCTGACGCCTTTGAGCTTATTGTTGCTTCCAGAGGGTGCCACTTTCTCCTTCAGATCAGGAGGGGAGGTGTGTTCGTTTTGTGAGGAAACCATGCTGAGCTCTGCAGTCTTCTGTCCAGAATTAGCCGGCTGCCTTTTAAAGTGATCACCTTTTAAAATTTAATGATCAACTGTTCTACTTCCTAGCTTCCTATGGATGCCCCTTGCCAGATTTGCCTCTAGGGGGTTGCCTTGGGTAGGACTTTCTAGCCTGGCCAGCAGAGACCGAGCCATTCTCTGGCTCTGTTTCTGGAGGGGAAATGGATTGGTGGGCTTCATGGGGAGAGCAAGAGGGAGGTGGAGCAGCTGTCACGGTTCAGAAGGAGAGAGCACCTCTGAGCAGTGTACTGAAGACTGGGAACAAGACTTGCTGCACAAGGGGCACAGAGATGGGTAGGCCTTTGCCTTGCTCAGCGGAGCCCCCGGCAAGCTTGGGAAACTGCCTGGAGAACCTTCAGTTCTCAGGGTCTCGTTGTCCAGTGCACTACTGTTTCACCCCACCCCCACCCACGTAATATGTGTCTGTGAGTGGTTTCTGCCGGCTCTTACCATAGGAACTGCTCCAGTTTCCTCTTTACCTTTGTCTCACAGTTAATCCGAAAGTTGGGAAAGAAAGCCATTTGTCTGGAGTGGGAGGTGCCCTTGCACAGTGGAGCTTAGCTCCTGAGGGGCCATCAGGATTGCACTCATTGTGTGTGCAATTACCAAGTGTAGGCAGGTTTCGTTGGAAACCTGCTACACTGGGCTGTCATGGCAACCCGATCATAAAATGACAGAGCAGCCAATGAGAGTTGAGAGTCTTGAGGGTGGGGCTTGCCAGGCTCCTTCACACAATACTCCTGGCTTGGTCTGAGTCATTGCCGAGGAGCAGTGAGTTACTTTCAGACCCAGTGCTACGCTCCCAGAGGCGCACTGTACCTGCCCTCCTAGTGTGTCCCTGCCCTTGCTGGAAGTTCCTGCTTGGGGCATTGCGCATGTGATGGAGTGGCAGGATGAGGAACGCTGACGGTGGTCCTGGTAATCAAAGTGGAAAGATGCTCATGAAAAGAACTGCTTCTTTACCTATTAAATGAAACCTGATGCCACTGGATTCTAAGTGTTCTAGTGCTGCTGCCGTTGTTTTCATGCGTTAGCCATAGGAATGGGCGTCAGAGGACAGGAGACAGATTTGGGTCGCTGAACTAGATAGAGTAAGGAAAGAGAGCAGAGAAGTGCGCGGCGTGCTGTCATCTGGTCCCAGGGGCCATGAGCTGCCTTGGAATAACAGGTGGGTCCTAAGTCTGCCGTCGATGCCTCGTGTGTGGCTCACATTCGCACGTGATGTTGCTCATGGGATCTACATGGACTTTCAGGTCTTTCCTGGAAACTGGGCTAAAAATCTTCCTCCTGTGGAATTAATTGGCTTTGGGCACTGTTGTAAGTGGCTGTTGTAACAGAAACTTGGCCCTGGTTGTAAACCTGAGTTCTGTCACCCATAGCTTTGGGGACTTGGGCAAGCCAGGTCATTCTGCAGGGAGGTTTCCTCTAGGCTGAGAGGCCTGCGATGACTGTCTGCAGTGCCTAGTGTCCTACAGTCTGAAGTTCCAGGACACAGCAGTCGCCTCGGACATCAGGCGCCTAGAGATTGACTCTTTCTGAAAGAGTCCATTTCTGTGATGAAAATGGAGTTCTGAATTATGAGATGGGTGTTTAGTTAAGCACTGGGCTTATTGTGTGAAGACCTCTACTTATCTTTGCTTTCTCTCAGGGAAATAAGGTATGGATATGACAACAAAGTCTGCCTGCTTGTCTAGCCCAGGCTGGTCTCCAACTGAGTCTCCTGGAGATACAGACAGACAAGTGCCACCATGCTTGGCCTTTACTGAACACAGTCCATGTTCAAAAGAAAAATGTTCCAAAGCTTCTTAAACTAAATAATGGTGGTGTTTCATGTCTGTAATTCTAACACTTGGAAGGCCAAGATAGAAGATTCTGAGTCCAGGGCCAGCCTGGGCTACATACAGAAACTGTCTCAAAACAAAAAACAACTTATGTTGGGCCTGTAGGTGTATCTCAATTGTAGAGCACTTGCCTAGCATTCAAGGTCCTGGATTCAGTCCCTATCACCACAGAAAATGAAGCAAAACTAATGTTGAAATGGAATGATACATTATTGTAAAGTAGTATATTGACAGTCACTTGCAGAACACTTCAGAGAACATCCTTGTCTCTTCAAAACTATTAGTCTGTATAAAAAAAATGACCTCTGTTATAGTAAAGGAAGTTTCTTTTTAGTTAATTTTTACTATGTGTGTGTGTATTTTTATGAACATTTGAACTGTATGTACATCTGTGCATGTGCATGCCTGGTGCCCTTGGAGGCCTCAAGAGGCTGTTAGGTCCCCTGGAACTGTAGTTAAGATGGCTGTGAGCCACCTTGTAAGTGCTGGGAATTGAACCCAGGCCCTCGTGGAAGAACCACTGAGCCATCCCACTAGCACATCCATCCATCCATCCATCCATCCATCCATCCATCCATCCATCCATCCATCCATCCATCCTTGGGTTTTTTGGGACAGGATTTCTCTGTGTGTAGCTCTGACTGCTGGAACTCACAGATCCGCCTGCCTCTGCCTTCCAAGTCCTGGGATTAAAGGCGTGCCCACCACTACCACCTGGCTTTTTTTTTTTTTTAATTTGTGTGTGTGCGAGTGAAGGTTGGAGGACAACTGGCAGGCATCTGTTCTTTCTACCATGTGTCCCAGGTATCAAACTAAGTGGTAGGCTTGGTGGCAAGCAGCTTTACCTGCTGAGTCATTTCCTCAGCCTTCACCCAAAAACTTCTGGCAGAGCCCCATTCGTGAGTCAAGCAAGAGGTGAAGGCCAGGGCATGCAGGGTCTGCAGCTACAGGCTTCTGTCTTTAGGACCCCAGCAGTAGACTTAAGATGTGTGTTAAAATGGCTCCAAAGCAGAATGTTCTAGATAGGGCAGTTTCAGAGATGGCTGCATCTGAGCAGGAATCTGCCTGGACATTGCCTCCTTGTCAGATCCCGTTCACACCAAGGTCTGGGTTATAAACTTACGTCTCAGGAAACCCAAAATGCCTTCTCCTTTGCTAGATTCTGTTTCAGTGTTAATACAGTGATACAACAGTGTCTTAGTCTAGAATCTTAGCAGGTTTATTCTATGCTGGCTTTGAACTCACAGAGACCCACCTGCCTATCTCCTGAGTGCTGGGATTAAAGGCATATATCTTCACAGATTCTCAGCAAAACACTTTGGAGTTGAAATCCTTTAACTTTTGCTGAGCCCCAAAAGCTAACTATGCATTTTAATCCCTCCCAGGAGTGACAAGGCTTAGTCTATATTAGGAAGGGATGAAGGGATAAAGGGTATGCCGTAGAAGGAATGGGGGTGGACTGATCCTTCCTGTCACAGTGATGTGATCTCGCCCTCAGCAACGCTCATCTGTAGGGAAGGAAGGAATGGAAAGGGAATGCAGGCTGGCATGTAAGGAGTGATGTGTCTGGGGGCTGGAGAGACGCCTCATCAGAAAGCATGTGCAGCTTTTTCAGAGAACCTGCGCTCCCAGCACCCACACCAGGCTTCTCCCTACCACCTGGCTCCAGAGAATCCGGTGCCTCTGGCCTCTGAGGACATCTGCATGCATGGCTTGTGCACAGCACACCACACACACACTCAAATGCAGTTAAAAGTAATACAATTTAAAAATAAGAAATCGGATCCTTCTAGGCCCAGAGGTCTTCTGTCTTCTGAAAGTGTGGATCTAGACCTGGCTGTCTGTGGACATGGCAATAATGGGAGTGCCCACAACCACATGACGAGTATTTGCGTAGGTGAGAGGTCCAGTTTAATGCCATTCTCCCCCTCTCTTCTTGCTGCTGAGTAAGATTTGTGCTAGTCATCTTATTAGCTTTTGAGATTAGTTTTTTGAGTCTGACACTGTAGCTCAGGTTGGCGTTGAACTCTCCACAGTCCTGCTCCGGCCCCCAAGCGCAAGCCTGTGTTACCATGCCTAGCAACGAATCAGATTTGTGCTGCTGTGGAAGCACTTAGGGAGGAGAGAACAGCTGCCGGCTTTGTGCTGTCCCCCTTTCCTCCATCTGGAGCCTCATCCTGCCCGGGTAGGACCTCTCCGCTTAGCTAGTCTTCTCTGGAATTACAGGGACACACCCGGAGGTGCACTGTACTAATCTCTCAGGCGCTTCCCAGTCGGTCCAGAAAGCCCAGAGCCTTCAGGGTGGCTCACAAGCCTACCTCCAAGCCTCCATCCCACCCCATTTTTGAGACAAGGTCTTAATATGTAGTTTAGGGCCTCAAAGTGGAGATCCTCCTACAGCCCCCAAAATGCTGGGACTATAGTTTGAGCCACTATGCCTGAATCATTTAATCGTAGTCAATTTTAAAAAGGCTTCAGGATGGCAGAGCAGAATTCTTAAAGCTATGACCAGACCAAGGTTTCAAGTGCTCTGAGTGAGCATGGGCTTTGAGGACTTTGAGTCTCACCCTTGGCTAACCCCAGTGATTGATAGAAGTGGTTCCCAGGTTCTGCATGCTGGTGGGTTGTGGGGTCTGTGTCTCAGGAATGCTGGGGATGTGGCTCTCAGATTCCTCTCTCACAACAGCCTGGGTCAGTTCTCAGTGGGCTCTGATTCAGCCTCTAATTCCACTAAATTTTCAGTTGGGACTTATTTACTAAGAGGAGAACGTTGCATAGTGACGCATTTGGGGACCTTGTATGAAAACAGACTGTTGGCTGTTTGTTTATTTTCAGGGGCTGACAGCCAGGGGTGAAGGTTTGTTTGGGCATGGGACTACAGCCCTAGGTAGTACCTGCTGCCTGGGCTCCAAGAGTTAATTTCTGCTAGCAGTGACGTTAGTCCTGATCTTTGCTCCTCTGTGCTTGAGCAACCTGATACTGCCGGCTGCTGGGCCTGTGCTCATTGGCTGCTGGTTGCACTTACAATGGGCGGATTTCTTTTTTTTTTCTTCAATTAAGTAAAAGGGGAGGACTTAAGCAGCCAGTGACGGCTGAGGCAAGACACATCTTGTGCCTCTTCCCTGGGAACCCCGGCACTGTCCACTCCTGACTTCTGCCAGCACTTGCTCCCAGTGGTGGCTGAGCACCGGTCTCGACAGCATGCTTTGCCTGTGCTTGTATGTGCCAATCATTGGGGAGGCCCAGACTGAATTCCAGTACTTTGAATCTAAGGGGCTTCCCGCAGAGCTGAAATCCATCTTCAAACTCAGCGTCTTTATCCCCTCACAGGAGTTCTCCACCTACCGCCAATGGAAGCAGGTGTGTATGCTGAGCCAGTGTAGCGAGGGGCAGCAGGCAGGGACTGGTTTTGAGTGAAGAGATGAATGGTACTTAGGCATGACTTCCTGCCTAGAGGAAAGGATGTCTGAAATGCAGGTGTTTGCCCAGACTTCTGATGCTGTAGCCAGCCTGTCTATGTCGTATCATGGGATGACAGGCTGGACTGGGAGAGAAGTCACCTGTAGGAGGCAGAATCCCTGGTGGGAGTCCTTCTCTTTGGCTAAGGTGGGGTCTCCTAAAATGTACAGGGTGTCAGCAAGACCTGGGCCTGTCTCACTGCTGGGGCCCAGGCTACAAACACCGGAGGAGGAGAAAGGCAGGATATAGAGGGCAGCATTCCCTCCTGAACTTTTTTTTTAATGTTTAGGTGCCCAGGAAACAGGATGGCAGCAGTGATCACAGCCCTTGTATGATGGGAAACTGAACCATAGCTTGGGGGTTTACCTTTTTCGTTTGTTTTTGGGTTTTTTGTTTGTTTGTTTTTTTGAGACAGGGTTTCTCTGTGGCTTTAGAACCTGTCCTAGAAGCAGCTCTTGTAGACCAGGCTGGTCTTGAACTCACAGAGATCCACCTGCCTCTGCCACCCGAGTGCTGGGATTAAATGCGTGCGCCACCAACGCCTGGATCAATGTAATTTTTTAAAAAGTGCTACTGAGTTGGAATGATTCATATTCCCACGAGTTCTCAAGTTCTTGAGATGAACTTTTAGTTAGGACAGCAGTAAGATCTGAAGGTGGTTCGAAATGCATGCGACAGTCCTGGCCATGGCATTCTGTGGACACCGTCTCCCTAGGTGCTGTTCCTTGCTTTGTAACATGTGGGAAAGGATAAGCTGCACTTCCTAGAGCAGCTGCTGACGAGGCCTCACTAAAGCCTTCACATACCACCCACTGCCTGGCATCCACCCGCTGCTGCCGAGGACCAGTCATTTAGAGCCTTAGGTCACTGCACTGGTAAAGATGCCTGGCCTTCAGCACCTGGTTGGGAATCTGGAGTTGGTTATATGTGATATCTCTGAGACCAGGGACTGAACTTGCAGTGCCTTCATGAGCTCAAGAATAGTTGACCTTGGCTCCTCTGCAGCCTCCAGAGTGTTCCCTGGCAACATTTCTGCTAAGTAGGCATTGTCTGTGCCTTCACCTGGATCACCAAATTGTTATTGGGCTAGTGCCACCACAGGGAATGGAGCAAATACCAGAGTTCCTAAGGGAATCTGGATTCCAACACTACCCCACATCTCAGCAAGGAACACGGGGCTAAAGTCTGGCTCCAGGGACAGCCCTATGGGGGAGCCAAGCTGCCGACTGTGTAACAGACTGGACTGGGGATGCTTTGAAAGAGCAAGCACCAGACTGCCCTGCTGGCCTCTCTGAAGGCTTCATCAGAGGAGAGCCTCTCTTCACCTAAGCAGTGTGCGCCTTGCTTGGCTTCTGGATATAGCCTTTGAGAACTTGAGCCTCGGCTCTGCTATATGGGTAAAATTGGATGCTGTATCCTCAGAGATAGGACATCTTGGGTGGAGAGCAGCTGTTTCCCCATTGTGACAAGAGGCTAGTGAGCCAAACCTCAAGTTCTTACTTTGGTTTTCTAGAAAATTGTGCAAGCAGGTGACAAGGACCTTGATGGGCAACTGGACTTTGAAGAGTTTGTGCATTACCTCCAAGATCATGAGAAAAAACTGAGACTGGTGTTCAAGAGTCTGGACAAAAAGAATGATGGTGAGTTTGGCTTATAGCTCCCTGCTGGGCAGGTCCCAGGCTTACCAATTGCTGGACCCTGCTCATAGCCCTTGTTGTCATAGGACGAATCGACGCTCAAGAGATCATGCAGTCCCTGCGGGACCTGGGTGTCAAGATCTCTGAACAGCAGGCAGAGAAGATTCTTAAGAGGTGAGTGTGGGTGGGCTGCTCAGTTCTGTGGGATGTCTTAATGGCTTTTGGACTAATCCACCTGCTGCTCATGTTGACCTGCTATCCTGACACTGGTCCTGTGGTTTGGAAGGATGAATAAGAAGCCCCTTCCCAAAGCAGGCTTCTTCCAAGGTTTGCAGCCCTATTCTAGGACTCACAGATCTGGAATTAGCCCATTTGCCAGTGACCCTTAAAATGACAAGATGAGTTGTGGGCATTTCATGTTGGTAAGAAGTGAGTGACCCTGGAACACTTTCTCTGCCTGATGGAGAGGAGCTTGTACCATGTGTGGTCCTTGACTTGGGTTGCTGCTAGTGGCATGTTCTTCACTCTCTAGCTACATATGCTACCAGAAAGATGGCTCACTCCCGGGCAGAGGGCTTTTGGGAAGTTCTGCCAATAGAACACTTTGTCCCTGGCTATACTGAAAGCTATCTGGCCACAGGGACGGCAGCCCCTGGAGCCCAGGCTTTGTCCTCTTGTTGTGCTGACCTCTAGTGTCCTTGGATGTGTGCTTGCTTTACTAACCTGCTCAGAGCATTTATTTGTGTTGTTTCTCCTCTCTCCTCTGCATCCTCCTTTGTCTGTCTGTCAGAATACGAACGGGCCACTTCTGGGGCCCTGTCACCTAGTAAGTACCTATGTCACCCCATGACTGCCTCCCTCCCTGATCAGAATGGGGTTCTTGTGGGCCAGCATATCTCCATTTTGTGGAATATGGGGTTTGGAGCCACCTTACCCCTATGGGCACATAGGTGCCTTTTGGTTTCCTTGGTGGCTACGGCACCTGCCTTCATCCCATCCCGGAGGTGGGGCGAGCGGCTGGCAGAGGGGGTGTGACCCACGGGAGTAACCATGCTTCTGCCTTACAGCATGGATAAGAACGGCACGATGACCATCGACTGGAACGAGTGGAGGGACTACCACCTCCTGCACCCCGTGGAGAATATCCCTGAGATCATCCTGTACTGGAAGCACTCAACGGTGAGGCCCCACCCCCTGTCCGTCCAGCAGCCTTCTTTGACTGCATCAGTCACTCCTTCCCCATCCAGGCTGAGCCAGTGAGTGTGGTTCCCCCTTCGCCAGCCTGTGTCCCTCCTCTTTCCACACACTGACCAGCCTGATGGCATGGCTGTTCCCTTGGCCTCTCCCCACACGCCACTGTCACTGTCCTTCACTGTCCATTCCAAACATCTTTCCCTGATGCTGCTGCTTCTCTCAGAAGCACACAGTCTGTCCTTGAGGTGGGGGAAGAAACCTTGCTGCAGATGCCTCCGCCTTCTTCCCTGGGTTCCTTTTTAGTATCCTTTGTCTCTATGGCAAGAATAGCATGTCCTTGCTGAGACCGAGGAACATCATGAGTTAAAGGCCAGCCTGGGCTACAGAGTTAGACTCTGGCTTTTTTTTTTTAATAAGCACGCCCTATAGGGGTCTACATACTGTTCTTTCACTGTTAGCATAGTTGCACATTTGGGAATGCAGATGTGTTTCCACAGTTAGAAATGTCATTCTGACTTAACCCCCGTCCAAGACTTCTGCTGTTCTTGGCTGGGCTGCCCCTGCTTTATCCACCATGCTCCCACAGAGCTAGGTCAGGGCTTCTTGGGTGAAGGTAAGTGGCTGCTTCTAGGGTTCAGAACAGCTGGCCTGTCTCTGGCCTGTAGCCCAGAGGTCAGCAGAGCTGACTGGGACCAGTTCCAGAGAGAAGGTGTTACGCAGGCAGCACAGCATTATGCTTGTTGAGGCCTTGCATAACACTCTGTCCTGCTGGCAATCTGGTTCCGCATCAGGTTGCAAGGTCTATATCCATCTTCCCTGATCCTGTGGTCTATCCCCGAAGTCCTTGCTGGAAGCTACAGGAGCCACCTTAAAAGGGCAACCCAGCCGTTCTGTAACGCTCTCCCTTCAGTCATTACCTGCTCCTCTCTAGATGGCTTGCAAGGCCAAGAGCTGCAGACACTGTCAGAGCAAAGGAAAGAGTTCCTGTAAGTCTTCAGTGCCTACCATCCCCACAGCTTGTGTGGCCACTTGAGAGAGCGGAAGGCAGTGACTCTCACCAGGTGGCTAGCAGCTTGGCCACAGATGTCCTGAGTAAAGTTGGCAATGTCTCTACTTGTCTTTGTCTTCTCCATAGATCTTCGATGTGGGTGAGAACCTGACAGTCCCAGATGAGTTCACAGTGGAAGAGAGGCAGACAGGGATGTGGTGGAGGCACTTGGTGGCCGGAGGTGGGGCAGGGGCAGTTTCCAGAACATGTACTGCTCCCCTGGACAGACTGAAGGTGCTCATGCAGGTGAGAGCAAAGTGGGAGACTTCTACCAGGGCTTCATTGGTGGCTCAGCTTCCCCGCCACCCCCCCAGACCCCCCAGCTGGGACCCTGCTTAAAAAACCCAAACTTCCACCCCAGATAATGGCATTAATGCCTTGCAGGCATCAGTAGATCCAGCCTAGGTGACTTTGTATTTAGCTGGTCTAATTTATTCTGAGAATTATAAGCTATGCATAATCGTATATGGGCTTGCTGCTTGGGGTGTGGCAGGACCTGAGTTCCCTTAAGCACATCTCAGGATGGATAGGGTACCTCATGGAAGGTAGGGTGAGCAGATCCTGTCATGACCTAGAGGCCATCAGGAAGCTGTCTCTCTACCTTGCCTGGGTATGCAACTCCACGTCCACAGGGCAGAGATCAGCTTGTCTGATGTCAGGGGAAGCACTGGAAAGTGACCCACATGTGGACACTCATGGACTTTGATGTCTGTCTGAACAGTGACCAGTTACCCCATTTTGCTTCTCTCTGGCACTTTTTGTGCCAGGAGGCCTGCCCAGAAACAGCACATCCCCCACAAGTCCCCTGGACAGACTAAAAGTGCTCATGCAGATGAGCAGGAAATCAGTTTTACCCGTGTGATTGGTGGCTCAGCTTCCCCTCCCCCCCCCCCAGCTAGGGCCCTGCTTTAAAAGCTCAAACTTCCCGCCCCAGCTAATGGAGTTGGAGTTAATGGTTTGTGGGCACCACCCCATCCCTCTGGGCTCTCCTATACTCCAGAAGCACAGGCAAAAGACTTAAAAGAGCTTTAGGCTTACTCTAGCTTGGGCTGACCCCTCCTCCCAGCTCTGTGACCCTAAACAGCCATTTCTCCTTCCATGGCCTCTGAGAAAAAGAGAAACTCAAACAGTTCCCTCTCACTTTTGTTTCTAACAGAATTCCAGGGATGTGTACATAGAGATTAAGAGCTGTCCTGCCTGGGTTGGTGGGGCATATTGCTAATGCTAGTACTTATGAAGATGGAAAATTCAAGGCCAAACTGAATGTCAATAATAATAATAGTAATAATAATAATCCAGGCATGCCTGCTGAATCCTTGGGATGCTAAGTCATTCTTCAGATTACTCAGAGGGCAGAGCCTTCCTGGTGTCCTCCCAAGGTGGACAGTGGCAGCCTCGACCCTGCTGAGCTCCTCTGACTTCTTCTCCCCTCAGGTCCACGCCTCCCGCAGCAACAATATGTGCATTATAGGCGGATTCACACAGATGATTCGGGAAGGCGGAGCCAAGTCTCTCTGGCGGGGTAATGGCATCAATGTCCTCAAAATTGCCCCTGAGTCGGCCATCAAATTCATGGCATATGAGCAGGTGAGGACCTGGAAGAGATTTGCCAGATAGTAGCTGCTTATGTGGTGTCTGCAGGACTGAGGTCCCTGAAACTAGAGCCAGTACTTGTACCCAAAGGACAGCAAGGTGATGATACCAACTCTCCTACCACTTGCTTCCATTTGGGGACCGCATAAAGTAGCGTCAGGGTCACAGGTCTCATCTAAAGCTGATGGCTGTGAGAGGAAGGGCAGGGCCAGGAGAAGTGCTATAGCCCCCTGGTGTATCCCATTGTTTTCTCCTGTTTCAGATGAAGCGCCTTGTTGGTAGTGATCAGGAGACGCTGAGGATCCATGAAAGGCTTGTGGCAGGCTCCTTGGCTGGGGCCATTGCCCAGAGTAGTATCTACCCAATGGAGGTAAGGGCCACTGGGTCCTGGAGTGGGCGGCACTTGTGGGACACAGGGAAGGATGGGTTATACTCATGCTTCGTGTCACTCTCGTTGTAGGTTTTGAAGACCCGAATGGCCCTGCGGAAGACAGGCCAGTACTCGGGTATGCTGGACTGTGCCAGGAGGATCTTGGCTAAAGAGGGTGTAGCTGCTTTCTACAAAGGCTACATCCCCAACATGCTGGGGATCATCCCCTACGCTGGCATCGACCTAGCTGTCTATGAGGTGAGGCCCTATTGGGCATAGACCCTGGGGCCAGAGGGAAATTGAGCGCCTGCCCAGTACCCACATCCTCCCTGATGGAGATACAGATGAGAGATAGCAGTCAACTGTTCACTACAGTGGTCCTCTGGCACAGTGGATTCTGCACCCTCTTAGGGTCCAGCGGTTCAGCAGACAGACCCCAGAACACAGTGGCCATTGGGGACTCACAGATCTCTCAGACTGCAGACCACAGAGGCCAGGTGCTCTGCATGGGAACACAGTGCTCCCTTCACCCTCCTCCTGCTCCCTGTCCTAGCCAAGAACTCCAAGTGACAGAGGATGCAAACGGTAGGCTGGTCAGGAGTGCAGCGAGGCCCAGGCCAAGGGAGTCAGTTTACATCGGCTTCTCGGGTCTCATGTAACAGGAAACAGCTTTCCCTGGATTTCAGACCTGCCCCACCCCAGCATGTCTCTCCCACGCTGGCTCTTACGGCTCACCTCTGCCCTGTTTGCCTCTAGACCCTGAAAAATACCTGGCTCCAGCGCTATGCCGTGAACAGTGCAGACCCTGGTGTGTTTGTTCTCTTGGCCTGTGGCACTATCTCCAGTACCTGTGGCCAGCTGGCCAGCTACCCCCTGGCCTTGGTCAGGACCCGGATGCAGGCACAAGGTAAGATTGGTGTTGCACTGACTTCCATGTCCCTAGTAGTTGGGATGGCTGACGGGTGGCATCTGACCAGTGACCTCTCTCCCGCAGCTTCCATTGAGGGTGCACCCGAGGTAACCATGAGCAGCCTCTTCAAACAGATTCTGCGGACTGAGGGGGCCTTTGGGCTATACCGGGGGCTGGCCCCCAACTTCATGAAGGTGATTCCAGCTGTGAGCATTAGCTACGTGGTGTACGAGAACCTGAAGATCACACTGGGCGTGCAGTCTCGGTGACGGGAAGGTGGTGGACTTGGTGGTCCTGGGTTGCCGCCCAGGACGTGCAGCCATCTCATTCTGTGAATGTGCCAACACTAAGCTGACTTACCCAAGCTGTGAAACCCAGGATGCCACAGGGAGGGGCAGGTACCGGCAAGCTCTAGGCTGGTCCTGCTGACCTGGCAGGCCCTGTGTCCCTTCCAAGGAAGGCCTGTGGACATGTCTTGGGGTCCAGAGGTCAGTAGGATGTGGGCTCCTGCACCTAGAGAACAGGATGTTTTCTGCAGTGCCTACCAGACAGTGAGCTCGGAGGCCAGCTTAGCTCTTCCATCTTGTTCACTCAGCCAGACCTCAGCCACATTCTCCCTCTGGTCCAAAGAGCATTCCTGTGCCCCCTCGTGTCTTTCCCATTGATGTGCTGTGGTAGGAAGTGGGTGTATCCCCCTTCTTCTTGTCCCTCTCCCCTCAGTGCTGGTCCTCCAAACCTGTTTCCCAGGCTGCAGCATCCATGGGGACCTTGCCTCTTCTGAGCTCACCAGCAAGGCTACCTGGATGTGCCCAGGTACTCAGGCACTGGCTGCCTGGCACCATGGTGCATGGCTTTGCTGAAAGCTACTATAGGACCTGGATCCCAGAGGATTTGTGCTGCCTGCATGGGCCTAATGTCCTCTGAGCTGTCCCTAAGCCCTGTCAGGACTGGCACCAGCTCATGACCACACTTATTGTTCCATTTTGTGGTGTGAGAGCGGGGCAGGGTATCTGCCCCATGCGTACTGCCCTGATGGTTCGGAAGGACAAGCTGGACCCCGCTCATGTGCCGCACTTACAGAGAGAGCATGAGGGGGTGCAGCAGAAGTGGTTTGGCTGCTTGGAAGTCTGTTCCGAGGTCCTGTGGGCCGAGTGGGACTAGCCTCACATTCCACACGGTGTATCACACTGCTTGGAGCCTATTTATTTTGTATTTATTTGAACAGAGTTATGTCCTATTTTTATAGATTTGTTTAATTAATAGCCTGTCATTGTCATGTCAATTTTTTATTCGTATTTTATGTTCATGGTTTATTGTACTTTCCCATCACCGCCTGGTGGGGGTGGGGAGACAGGTGGAAGAGTGGCCACAGAGTGACCTCACCTGCTGCCTATACTGACGGCATGTCTGTCCAAGGAAACTCCTCTCTCAGCTGGAAACAAGAAAGGCACAAGGGAGGGCCTTGCTGTGAAAAGCAACCCCTGGCAGGCCGGGTAGGGTGGTGGGAAAGAGGGGAGAATCTCTTTATTTTGCCCTTTTGGAATGACAAGGCAGGAGGACTGGGTGACCTGGGCTCCCTCCTGGCCCATGGCTGCCCTTGCTCAATGAGTGGTCAGCTGGCCACTTGGCAATTGTGCCTCCACTGTCTCAACAGCCTAACGAGGAAAATCCAAATAGGATGCAAAGATCAATGCAAAAATTACTGTTCTGCATAGTCTGTTGCTGTAACTGGACTTTGTCTAAGGCAAGCAGCCTTCTAATAAAGTTGCTTCAAAGTGACGATGGAGCCGGGGTTTTTCTGCTCTGGACGTGGGTGTTGGGGGACATTTACATTTTCCTTATCCATTGCCTACATACTTACACCTCAACTTCTCGGGGGCACTTCGTCTTCAGTGGGTGTTGGTTAGATTTGGGGCTGCTCCATCTGTGGCATGGGCCTCCCCTTCCTGCTGGGATCTTGTTCTTCACATGGTCTGCAGGCACACACTACAGGCTGCTTTTGCTCGGGCCTTGCGGGTGCTAAAGGCCGGTCAGCTCAGACGTTTCTCTCTCTGTCACACCTGTTCAGCCTGTCTCGTCAGAGCTTTGTTAGAGAGCTCTCACTTAGTGCTTGAGCAGATGAGCCTCTGCAAACAACCACAAGCTCACCCTTTACACTGGACAGCTGACGGGCATGAAGTGTCACACGTCAAAGGCCAGGTGCTGGCTTTCCTCCCAGATCTGCATCTCTGCCTCCGTTTCCCCAGCAAAGGCTCCATTCTTCTAATGGCTTAAGTAAAAACCTGTGGTTGTCAACAGCACCCGACTTCCTATCCTCTCATTCTAGTCTAGTCCATCAGAGAATCCATCCCATCACCTCCAGGTACATCTGGGACCCCACTGCTCACGACAGCTCCACTGCTTCCCTCCCTTTTCGTCCTGAGTGACTTACAGACCTAAACCCTTAAACTTTGGTTCCTGTCCCCCAAAACCTTCCTTGAAGGCAATAAGCCACAAGCTGGGGGGAACCAGTGGGTTAAATCCTGTAACTAAAGATGAGGATTCATTTAAAAATGACACTTAGGTACTGGAGAAATGGCTCAGACAGTAGGTTCAGCAGGCAGGCTTGCCAGCTGTCAAGCCTGATGACCAGATTTTTATCCCTATCACCCACATGGTGGAGGGAACTGACTCCCACAAGTTGTCCTCTGCACCCATACACATAAACCCCAAAAATAATAAATGTGATCATCGCCTATTGAGATGGCCCGGGGACTAAGAGGGTCAGACTCCCTCTGTGGGCCCTGCATACATGTGGCATATACCCACAACACACGCTACATAAATAGATTTTTTAACTAAAAGAAAAAGTTGGGCATGGTGGCATATGCCTTTAGTCACAGCATTCAGGAGGCAGAGGCAGGGGCATCTGAGTTTAAGACCAGCCTGGTCTAGAGTTGAGTTTCCTGCCAGCCAGGACTGTATAGTGAGACTTTGTCTCAAAAACAAGTAAGTAGTTTACGCTGGGTGTGGTGGTTTAGTCCTGTGATCCCAGCACCGGGGAGGGACTGAAGGGGGCGTGAGTTGAAGGCCAGTCTCTAGCAAGACTATCAAAATTCAGAACTAGAGAACCGGAGAGATGGTCCATTGGTTACAACACTCAGTATCCTTCCACAGACCCTCATGGCAGCTCACAATCATGTGGATTCAGGCATCCATCATCCTGTTCTGTCCTCCACAGGTACCAGACATGCAAGATATACAGGCAGGCAACACACACACACATAAAATAGAATTAAAAAAAAATAGTTAATACAGAGAAACCCTGCCTCGAAAAACCAAAAAAAAAAAAAAAAGTTAGAAAATTGGGGGTGGGCATAGTGGCATACTGGGAAGGCAGAGGCAGGTGGATCTCTGTGAGTTTGAGGCCAACCTGGTCTACAAAGCGAGTTCCAGGACAGCAAGAGCTGCACAGAGAAACCTTACGTCAGGAAAAAAAAAAACTACAAGGAACTCAAGAGTGGCTCTGGTTAAGAGCGCTGGCCCCACAAGCAGGCTACCAAGAAGCCATGAAGCTTGTCTTAAGTGTCCCCTTGCTCAGCCAGTGCTGGGCCTCTGTGCTAGGGATGAGACACAAAGTGTCCTCACTTCAAGGCTCCCGTGTGTTGGAGTAGTACCCAGTTTTTGGTTTGTTTGTGTGTTTTGTGTTTTTGTTTGAGACAGTTTTGCTATATAACACGGAGCTGGCCTTGAGTTCAATCCATCCTCCCACCACCTCCAACTGCTGGAATTGTAGGCTTATACCTCGGCTTTCTTTTTCTTTTTTTTCTTGGTTTGGTTTTTCCAGACAGGGTTCTCTGTGTAGTTTGGAGCCTGTCCTGGAACTAGCTTTGTAGACCAGGCTAGTCTTGAACTCACAGAGATCCACCTGCCTCTGCCTCCTGATTCTTTTTCCTTCTTAGCAAAAGCCTCTGAAATACTCTATCTGCTCCCATAAAACCTAACTGGGCCCCTTCCTGGTTCCCCTGCAGCCCCACTGGCTGTACAGGGCTTCAGCACGCCCGCCTGTAGCTCTGCTCAGCCTCCAGCACCTAAGCCTCCCCTAACAGGTGTGGTTTACATTCTGTCCCTAGGAGAGCTTCAGCCTCGTGGCAGGGAAAGCCTTTGCAGTTGTCTCTCTAGTACTGAATCTCCCTCCAATGTCCTTGATGGTCCTGGGCAGCCAGTGCCAGGCCGGGCTGCTGTGGTGATGGCAGGAAGCAGCTCGCAGGCTCTGGCACACGCTGTGGGGTATTGCCAGGTGTGGAACTGGGATGTACCACCTGTATGTTAGCATCCTTTAACTTTGGGTCCACCCAGAACCTCAGAGTGTCACCTTATTTAGGAATAGGATCTTCGTGGAATCAGATAGGATGACATCACTGCAATTTGGATACCTTTCTCCCGGAAACTATAGAAACGAATCGGTCAAGTGTGTGGGTGAGTCTCGGCAAGAGTTTATGGGACTTGGGTTCCTGAGAAGGGAGAGGCATTGCCTGACCACAGACTGGCTGCTTGCAGGGAAGGGAGGAGCAGACATAATGGCTTGTTGTAGGCGGGTTAACCTGTCTCTAGCTCCTCAGCTTGTCAGAGGGACTTCAGCTGCTCAAGCTGCCAAGGGCTTGCTTGCCTTTTGTCCTGCTGTTCCCAGTGTGTCAATCCTATCCTAGATCAGGAGGGGGCCCCAAAATCCAGTGTTTAGTGATTATCCTTGCAAGAATTAAATGGCATGAGCCAGGCGGTGGTGGCGCACGCCTTTAATCCCAGCACTCGGGAGGCAGGGGGATCGCTCTGAGTTCGAGGCCGGGCTGGACCGACAGCCTCCAAAACAATACAGAGAAATCCAGTCTGGTAAAAACCAAAAAAAAATAAAAATAAAAATAAAATAAATAAATTAAGTGGCATGATGTAATCTCAGCATTTGAGAGGCCAAGTTCAAGGTAAACCAGGATACATGTGGTACCCTGATTTAAATTTCATCACAGTGTGTGTGTGTGTGTGTGTGTGTGTGTATTTAGGTGCTGGTGGGAGGTCAGAGGGAACCATAAGTTCTGTTCCGTTCTGTTCTTTTGTCTTGAGGGTCCTGGGGATTAAACTCAGGTCCTCAGGATTAGTGGCAAACACCTTTACCTGCTAAGCCATCTCGTTGGTCTTGATACTCTACAAAGAGGGAAGAGTCTACATGAAGAGGCAGAGGTTAGGGGACTATGTCTGCAAGCTAAGAAACACCAGGGATCCTGCTGGCAGCCACCATTGGAGACTGGGAGCTGGCCCCACCCACACCTACATCTGTGGGAGATGTAATGTCTCTGCGTTTTGCCGTCTAAGGTTCTAGGAATTGGCTAGGACACCAGTACACCACTTATTTCAGGAATTTGTTACCAGGGTAACAGGTCTTGGCTGATTGGCTAGCGCAGCCTCCCCCCCCAGCCTGTTCTCCCACCCGTTCAAGTCTTGTCCTCCAAGCCAGCTGAAAGGAGAAGCCTTACCTGCAGTTGAACCAGCTTTCAGGCCGTGAGGTGGGCATAGTGCAGTGCTCACCAGGCCAGCCTCCCTAGGGACGACATGGTTCTCTGCCTGTCCTGTGTATCTGGGTTTGATCTTCGTGAGACCTCCACTGCCTGCCTCGGTTAGAAGACTGTTCCCTGCCTAAGCTGGCCTCTCCTTCCTGCCCTGTGCCCGGCACTATTTCACTCCTGAGGCTCTCAACCGCCCACTCCATGCTGGGGGCTTTGTTCCTGCCAGTGTGCACACCTGGAGCCCAGAACTACAAACACTCACATGTGGTTTGGATTATGTTGTCCCTGCCGTAGCCTGTGAATTAGCTTACAAGGTAAATTAGGGCACTGTGGAATGGTCTTGAGCAAGGTTTGCATGGGGGCTTTCTCACAGCCCTGAAGAGACATGTCCCAGTTCATACAAAGGGGAAAGTGGCCTTATCTACCATAGTGGCCTGTGCTCTGCTGTCCCCAATCCCCATCTCACCGGCCTGAGTGGATTGGAATGTAGGGAAAAGGTTGGAGGGCGGAGCCTTATGCTGGCCCAACTGCCCAGGTGGACCTTGGTCCTTGCATGGAAGGGCCAGCCAGCTCAGTCGTGGGCCACCGTTGGTCTGGGCTGGATGAAAAGAACTCCAGTATGTGGAGCAGAAGTCAACTTGAAGCCAGAGACAGCCGGTGACTGCTGCAGGGGCCATCAACCTGGGCCTGCTGGACAGAGAGTCCTTGAGCACAGGGCCAGAGAGGAGAGCAGCACAGTGAATGACTCTTGTCCTTTTTTGTCGCTGTGAGCCCACCCTATGGTCCTGGAGGGGTCTTTATTTCTAATAGCTCTTGCTGAGGTTGATGGGAGAGGAAGCTGGTCTCATTAGCCAACAGCGGGTGCCTGGCTTTCGCTAACTTTACAGATGAGGATACAGTAGACATTGGGCTTGCTCCCTGCCAAGTCCCTCACTCATTTCTCTTTCCTGACTTCCCTCAGCATGTGACATGCATCTGTGTTAGCATCCCAGGGCCGCTGTTACCAACAACCACAGTCAGTGACTCAGAACATGCCAGTTTCTGGAGACCTGAAGTCCAAAGTCAGCTTTGCTGACGTCAGGTGTCAGCAGGTCTGGCTCCTCCTGCAGGCTTCCGGACAGACTCCTAGCTTCTGGAGGCTTCTGCAGCCCTTGGCTTGTGACCCTTTCTGATTCCTCCACACACAGGCACATCCCAACTCTGGTCATATCTCCCTCTGTTTGCTGTGCTTTTTAAATGTGG